CCCCAAAACCCCAAAACCCCAGTGTTCGAATATTTGGTTTATAAGGAGAGTTTACAAAATAAATATTGAAATATTAGTTTAGGTCAAAAATAAAATCTCAATGCTTGGAACTGTTAAATAAGAAGAAGAATCAGTTTATAACTTCAAAGAACAATTGAATTAAAATCAACCTTTACATCTTAATTTTCAGTTGTAAAATCATCCTGATAATGTGAGGTCCATGATCGATCAGATATAAGAAGTCGCCAATGAATCATAAAATATGGTGGCGATTGCTCGCAATTTAAAGAGAAAAGTTAAGGGCTTTCATAAAGAGATATAGAATATTACCTAGAACATGCTAATGAATTTAGAGTTGAAACTAAGCACAAGGATCTCAGAAGGAGATCAACAGTCATCGCCTTTAAAAGATGAATCCTCAAGAAGTACTGAGTCTTCTTATGGCACAGGAACTATGGTCAGTGGGTTCAATCAAGAACTTGAGTTTTTCATTGATAACTAACTTAACAATTTAGAGTTTATAAAGGAAAACATGAACAAATACAAGACTCATCTACAAAATTTAAACGAAATTGAGCCTCCATAGCTAAACTTATCAAGAGAAGTTTACTTCAAGTCACAATAAATGAGTCAGAAATTTATTACATTAGATAAAGGAATATTTTATGAGTCTATGCTCTGCTAATTAAATGAAAGATTAATAGCTTTGAATACTAAGGACTAAACGCATTTGCTTGAAATAGTAACTGATACAGATGGATCTTAAACATTCAAAATAATAAAATTATTCTAAGAGAGAGTGAGATTTATACTTCTGCATGAAGATAGATTATTATGTGAGGGCAGAGTTTATAATAAGCAAGATAACTATCAAATCTGTGTCTAGAATCTTGGTCACGAAGATATATCTGGAGCACTTGCTATCACAGATTAAGTCTTATTTTTAGGGCATATCGCGATGGTTCGTTTTAGCCTGTGGAGGTATAATTCAAATCGAAAAATGTATGAAATGCTCTAAAGAAAACCTATCTTTGTTGTTCCTAATAAAAGAGAAGCTTACTTTGCTCACTTAATGAAGAAAGATTTTTTCAACCCAGAGCTTCCTAATCACTTGTTTATGGCATTTGGGCCTAATTCATTGTTTAAAGTAGTGCTAGTAGCTGATGCTTTAGAGAAATCTTATAAAGACAGACTTTACTCTAACAAGAAAGATATGATAATTGATTACAAAGGAATTGAGTCTTACTAAGTTGACGATACTAAGAAATAAATCCTAATTGTTCTGTTCTCGATGAGTGTAATTATTTTGGATGTCACTAATAAAGCAAACTGTGCACTGAAGTAATTTGATACAAAATAAGACTGCTTAGTGCTTTTGAATATTTTTGGCAACATTTAAGTAACTCTGAACAAAAAAAGTATTATAGGAACATATGCAGTATGTGACATTTTAGATTAAGGCATCTCAGGATGGTTAATAGAGTCAGATGGACTTCGAATGATTGGACAAATTAAAATGCCTAATACAAATACAGGAGAAGAAAAGGACAGTGTGTTTGTATTAGCTTGTGACAATAAATTTAGAGGAAGCCTGGTAATTCTATAGATTTATTTATGCTGATTATTCCGATTGAATTTAGTTTCACACCAAAATTAGTTATTTAAGTTAACTGGGGGTTTTGGGGTTTTGGGG